AAGAAGAAGAAGAAGTCTGGGAGGCAGCAGTGCAGGGGTTCTGCTGTCCTCCTGGGTTTTGTTTGGTTTTAACCCCTTTTTGGTTGCATTCATTTGGATTCGTTGGAGTTTTAAACTGTGGTAGTTTTTAACTCTTGGTGATAAGTTTTTTAAAGGTTAACTGTATTTGGTGCAATTTTACTGACTTTTGTTTTTAAACACCTTTGTGTGGTAAAGCTTTTAAAATAAGCTTTTACCAGGTGTTTTAATCAGTAAATTGTTTGGGACTTTTTATCAACTTTGGGATTTTAAAACACCTTCTGCTCGGTTAAACTTTTAATATAAGTTTTAACCAGGTGTTTTATAGTTGATAATTTGGCTGTGTAATGTTAACCTTTTTAGAGAGATCTGTTTGCTTGTGTTTTAATACCTTTTTGTTACAAATAAACCCATTTTAAACTCCTCCGCCAGTTCTTATGTTACCCCCATCCTTCATATTTTTACAACACCTGTCGGGGACGTAACAGCCGGATTTACCATACGGACAACTGGGCAATTGCCCAGGGGTCCACGAACTCTAAAGGGCCCAGGACAGCAAGGGCATGAGCAAAATACTGTATCTGTAATCTCCCACTTTATATTAAACAAACTGTCCACCCGGGCTTTTGCACTGCACAGATGCTTCGCTGCCTATGACTTTGAACATTAGATGAGAGTGGTTGAGAGTCAGTCTCATGCAGACTGACCAATGAAGAGAGGCCTGACAGCAAATATAGTGGGGCGCGCTCTGACCGCACCGATAGTCACCGGAGGATGAAACCGGTGATGCGCTCCGCTCCGCAGCAGCAAAACGCATCAGGTACAAATAAAACACAGAAAGCATGAAAGGATATGAGCCGACATGAATGATCGCGTGTTAAATTTGTTTTTGAGGTGCGACACTTTGATAATGTTACTGTGGCAGTTCTCAGCACATTGTACCCAGGGGCCCCTGCAATGATAATCCGGCCCCGCAAATATTGTATATGTCTCAATATTTATCTTATAAATTATTTTATGTTTATTTAAAAGAAATAAAATGTTCTGAATATTATAATATACTTAAACGATTGGGCTGAAACAATAATATTTTAAAATAATACAAAGCCATAGGGCTTTGTAGTTTAAACAAAAAATAATTCTTTCCAGATGTCTGACAAAACAAGGTGAGATGTAGAGGATTTCCTCAGCTGGTTTCCTAATTTATGCTCCCATGTCTTCATGCTCACCAACTTCCTCCCTAAATTCCAGACTAACATCTCCCGTGACTTCTGTTTCCTTAGCATGAGGCTCAAAGGGAGCTGAAACAGGTGTCCCCTCTGAGCAGGCCCCTCCAAAATAGGCTCTGATCATTCAGGCATAGTGAGTGGACTAAACTACATAAATTTCTTCTGCACAAAGATACAATCTGTCTCAAAAAGCAGGTGTAAAGAATAATTGTACATTTGTTTAAATTACAGATTAAATGTTATTGAAAATACGATCCAGCTGATTGAAGCTCTGATACTGATTTAGTTGACTGTAATTTACTGAAATTACTTAATCACTGATGGGAAACAAGCAAATAAATGAAGTCAAATTAAAAAAATCATTGCTGACAGAATTTAATACATTTGTTCAACAATGTTCTATATTTAGAACCTCATTTGAATATGCCATGACATAATTTACCTCATAAGCTATGCACATGAAGGCTTCTTAGTTATGCTCAAGATATTTCCCATTTACGAACTGCATTCATCATGTTCCAGAGGAATTTTAAAAAACTTGGCTTCATGTTGGTGATGAAAGCTTTTCTGCCGAAACATATTAACCCGATGTTCTCTGTCAACAGAGATATGATATAATTGGAGGTAATTCAAACCCTGGAGAGCAGCCATCCTTGTTCTTCTCACATGTTTTTCCATCTTATTTTGCAGGTTTTTGGCAGCGAATCGAAGCAGCGACTCTTTTTTTTTTTTTTTTTTTTTACGTGTCCTGTCTGGCTGTGAAGCAAGCAGAATTGATGTCTGAATGCTGGTAACAAGCCTTACAGATTTATTCTCAGGTGGAGCATCAAAGCGTCTGCTTTAAATGTCACGCCTGATACTTGAAATTTTATTGTTATTGTTTTTGAATGCTTTGTAATTCCGACCAGACAGGGAGACAGCTGTCAAAAAGAAAGGAAAAGACAAATGGTGGTGGGGGGGGTCCACAAAAATAAATAATAATGAACAAGAGTCTGCTTCTAGACCTGCAGAAAGAGAAGAGCAGAAAAAAATCGGACACACAACAATACATCAGGAGCAAGCTATCACTGCGTCAACGTGATGATGAAATATAAAATCAACATTGTTTAACTGAACAATCACACGATAATAAATCATAGTGCATTTAGTGGCAACGACAGCCTTGAGACAAGTGTTGAACGTACGTGCCCAAGCCCCTACTTTTGAGAGCACCATGTGAGCACCTGTGTGTGTACACACGCTTGTTTATGTAAGGTTTCTCTATAGGAGCGTCTAATAGAGAGTGTGAGGGACCACAGATCTGCCCCCAAAGACGCGTAGGAGACGGGGGGAGCTCCAAGTCCCAGAGATCCAGGCGCTGCCCCAGAACACAGGAACCCCAAGGGGTCTGCAACCAGAAAGGCCCCCCGCCCCCCTTGAGAGGCGCAAAGGATCGCCCCGGGGGGCCACAACCAGCAGCCGGCAGAGTCCCAGGAGATATCAGCGGCAAGCCCACAGGCCCGCCAGCCACCTCCCACCCCCTAGCTGGCCGAGCCCGGGACCCAGCGACCCATGACCCAGGGGTGACCACCCCCGCCGGGGACCCAGCAGAGCCCAGGGACCCAGACCCCACCAGGCAGCCACCGGGATTGACCAGGCAGGCACCAAAGATCTTAAACCCCCTGACCCGGGAGCCACGAACACCCAGGCAGACCAAGGCACCACACCCCACACCAGGTGTGGCAGGGGGAGGGGAGACAAAGATCTATATCATCAAAGGAGGTCCCAGGAGAGGGGAGGAGTCAAAGGCCCCACCTGACATATACAGTCATCCACAAACACAGTCACACACTCCCTCCCTCCGTGATGAAAGCTTTTCTGCCGAAACATATTAACCCGATGTTCTCTGTCAACAGAGAGATGATATAATTGGAGGTAATTCAAACCCTGGAGAGCAGCCATCCTTGTTCTCTCATGTTTTTCCATCTTATTTTGCAGGTTTTTGGCAGCAAATAGAAGCAGCGACTCTAACACACGAAGGATCACCTTTAAAAAGGCGGTTTACGGGGATGAGGTCTGGGTTTTTTCTTACAAAACTGGATTTTGGTGAGCTTTTACAGCAGAAAACTAGAGTTTCTATTAATGGTGGAATAACTGATTGGATTAAGGAAAGCTCAAACAAATAAACACCTATTTATCATATTGGAGTTTTCTCATGACCATTTAGTCAAAAACAAAACGGTTTTATTCATTATTATTGTGTTTAAGAGGCAGATACACCAGATAACATGCAGCTCCCTTTGTGCTCCGATGTTTAACCAACAGTTGTAGGAAAGTTTGAGACAAAAATTTCCACTTAACTTGATTAACAAATCTTTAAAAGTTAGAATTTTTTTTGTTATCCAAAATCAATTTTTTATTTAAATAAATGTTTCAGTGAGTGATCAGATATTTTTGTGCAGGCAGGCCTTCCCTTCAGTGTTTTGAAGTTGTAGACAAAAATCCGGACATCCGGAGGTTCTGATCTGCTTGGCCTGGATTCTCACGACACATCATAAACTTAAGACTGTTGTTCATTTTCCACACTGCAGCTGTATCTAAATATTACTGTTGGAGGACTGAAACGAATCTAACGCCTTCCGTGTTCTCGTAAATCTACTGTTGAGTTTCAGTGGAACAGTGTGGCTTTTGTCTTTACGTTGGCTAAAGATAAAAACTACAAAACTGCAAATACAGTAACTTAGAAAAATTAAATGTAGACTCTCTAAATACATAATTAAAAATACAGACATTAAAACTTGGGATGTCCAATATCGGGCAATATTGGTATTAAAATGTAACATCAGAAATGATCATACTAAGGTTTATTTGACTTGAATGAAAACTTGTACATATGCACATTATACAGCTACTTGTCTCATTCAAAATGTCAAAATATAGCAGATCCAAGGTATAGTTTTGAGATGTTGTTTGGCACAAATGGCCTTACTTAAATTAGATTAGTTGTCATTTATTTGCACAGATAATGTTTAACGTTACACCTCAGCTGAGAAATAGTCCCTTCAGCGTGTCATGGGGTCTTCCTTTAGGCGTCCTGGAGGCATCCTAACCAGATGTGGAGGGGTAGCAGGCTTCTGTGGTCCTCCCGGATGACAGAGCTTCTCACCCTAAGGCACAGCTTTAATATTGATTAAAAAAACAACCCTTATAAATGTATCCAAAATAACAAGAAAACAAATCTGTAAATCCTTAGAAAAAAGCACATTTAAAAGACTCTTAATTTAAGTTAAAAACAAACTATCTCATCCTTCAGGTGAGCCTAAAAGGAAAAGACCCCACACTGTTTTTTCCCGCCCTTTTCTCTTTGTCTCAGAAACTCCAGCAGGTTATCTGAAGGAGCTTTAATTGTGTTTTGTGTGGACATGACCTTTAGCCTCTGGGACAAACAACAGCAGCTCAACAGGTCCTACGAGAGCGACGATGATCTGGACTGAACAGGAAACATTCACAAAGCTGACCTGAACAGATCCAACTCACGGGAAACTAGCGTTGCTGCTCCATAGCCCAATGTTTTAAAAACATCCGTTGCTCTGAGGAAATAATGATCCCCTTCCATTATGTCTCTTTTATCTGTCACATTCTCCCGTATGTGTGAGGAAGACATCAGCGGGCGGACCTGACAGCCTGACATCTGACAGCGTGATCCTCGTGTTCAATTGAAGTCTTGTCTGATCCCGGATCAGAGCCAGGAAAAGAAAAGATCTCAGACGGGCGGGTTGTAAACAGGAACAGCCGTTTGTTTATTCTCAGGTTGATATGTACAGAAAGAGTGGCTGTGTACATTTTTACACATCATGTAAAATATTTATGGAAAAAAAAACAATTGCACATTACCATCATCATTTAAATTTAAAAACATGATACAGCAAACGGCTGAAGGCAAACAGGACACAAACATGCTGAAAAGTGTTGGCTCTTAGTAGAGCAGACAGCACTAGAAGTACCACCCATTAAAAACACAAATTTCAGGTTATAATTTCTAAATAAAACACCAGTCTGTGCTGTAGTATGAGCCACATCATCACCCTTTTGGGGTAAAATATTCAGATTTCTGTTCAGGCACTTCTTCATATCAAACAAAACCCACAAAACAACACATCAAAAACTTCCTTTTCTTTCTCACAGTTTCCAAGTTATTATTTATCATCTTCATTGAAATGTGGGATGAAAAACTGAGGACCCAGATCAGGAAACATGGACAAACACAATTCTCCTCTGGTGTTTTTGGATTTATTCACTATTAATCTCAGATCTGAGGAGGAGGCTCCATCACCTGTCAGGTGATCCTGCACCTTCCATCTGTCTCTCTGGGATGTCTGGGATTCGCTACAGACATTTGAAGAAATGATGCAAATTTTTATTTGATATCAAACTAAATTGACATTTTATTTAGTCACCATCCACAAGATCCAGAAGAGTTTGAAAACCGATTTTGTTTTTTCTCTGTTTATGAAAATAACCCATCTTTGTCCACATTACAGTTAACATAAAAGCAGACCGGGGATGATAGAAGCTATGTTATCATTTATGAAAATCTCAGACACAAGAATTTCTTAACTCCAGTCTACACAGAGGCACCAAGATGTAAAAAAAATCTCAAGTTTACCTCAAGAAAAGCTCTGTGGAGTGGAGGTGCAAACATAGCAATAAATGCCCAAAATGTGTCTCAAATGTTTACCATTTGTCCTCATTTTTGATCAGTTTTGTTGACCGTCAGACTTGAACCAGTATCTCACTGGGCAACAACCAGTTGGGATACATGAAATGTGACGTAGTGCTAGTGGAGCATCCGATATCATAGCAAACAACTTTACTTGTTGCAAAATTTCCCATTCTGTTCAAAATGTGATTTACCAACTGAGAAAGTTTTCCCACAGTTCTTGGATACTAAACTGAGAAAAACTCGAGGCAAGTTCCTGTCACCCACAATGACTGAGACTATTTTCCAGCACTTCGTTTGAATGTTGACATTGGGAAAGAGCTTTGTAAAAAAATGCTTTTTTTAAAATCTAATTTTGAAAATTCCAGCAACATGAGAGTGAGGCTCTACAAGTCAAGTGAGGAAACTGAGAACCTTTGAGAATGTTTGAGACATTTTGAAAACTTTGGGAATATCGTCTGTAATTGGTCACCATATGGAGCCCATTGAGATGCATTATACAAATACATTCAGACTGCATTTTATCAGCTTATCATACATTTTATTTAGGTTTGCTTATTTTTGTTGCTCTTGTGCTTGAAGTGAAATTTCTGATAAGATTTGTCTTATTATGAAAAGAAATCCCACAATGCTGTTCTGCTGGTGGTAGATTTTCTACCATCAATGCTAAAAATCTCATCTTGCTGACCATTAAGTTCTAACTCACCTACAAAGGCTTCCAATCATAGCCTGCAAAATAATTGGAACAACAATAATAACCATCTTCTGATGTATAAACTGACATCTAACCAGGTTTTAATTTACTCGTTTCATTTGAAGAAATCAGAATTGAATTCAATGCTATTTCCCCTCAGCAAGCATCCGGACAGAGGGTCAGTCACTTTCAGCTTCTCAAATTAACTTCTTTAATTGTGCTCCACACATTGTGATTTGTTGAGTAGTCTGAAGTAAACCAGCATTTAATGTTGCAATCAGAGGAACTAAAAACAGGAAGTGACTCTGCTGACAAGTTACTTTAATATGCAACCAGCTATATAAATGTCTTGAAGCAGGATTTGAGTTTACTGAGGGTTAAATTAACACTTTGATAAGTTGTACATCTAAATGTTTATATATAATATATATAATATATATATATAAACATCAGACATCTCAGTCCAGAGACGTGCAGTTCTAGGACCCTCAAGCTCCCAGGCCTCTGGCAGAGGACTCGAGCTTGTAAGAATGACACCACCCGTGGAGGGAGAGATGGGTATATCTGTACAACAGATTTTATCCTTTATTATTCATATTTTATCCTCAATTCATGTAACGTTGCTAAATGATTCTCTGTACAATGAAATGCTTAAAGTTGAATTTGTTCACCATTGAAAGAGTCAAACACTGTTTCTTTTAGATGATCTATTTGATCTTTTAAGATGTTTTTTGTCCATCAGTGGAAGATTTCTTCACAACATGCTTTAGATCACTAGAGATTATTTTAAGGAAAATTCTGAGCTTAAATCGATCAAAAGTTTTTAAAAATTGTTTAGCTCCACCCATTTGTCCAAATATGGTCATCTCTGGTTAAAAAAATTAGGTAACATTTTTATAAATTATGATGCTCACATTTGTGGGCAAAATATATTAACAATAAAGGCAAAAAATAAAATAAAATAAAATAAAAAATAAAGTCTGACAGTCTTATCCCCTACAGCAACAACAATAAAAATAATCAAGTATAATAGAAACTATTTCTATTTTGTATGCTGTGAGAACCACAAATGTAGTCAGATAAGCCTCCGGATAACCTAAAACCTGAAATCTCAAAGTTCATTTTAAAGGTAAGTTAATGAAATAGACTCCAATTTTGGGTTTTCAGCTGGTTCTTCAAAATGCAAAAGCCCTCAGTTTGTTCACCAACTGCTGGTTATTAAAAGCAAGATGGCCCCCCTGCCTGCTCCCTTTTTTAAACCATTGTGGAAGGGAGTGTCTGCTAAATGCTCAAAGAGGAAAAAAAATACAAAAAGTAATTACGGCTATTTGGAGCAATTAACTCCAGAGGATATTTTTTTCCTTTTGTTAAAAAAAAAACTGGATAAAAGGCTCCTGCTAATTCCACTCTGGGACTCATATTGTCTCTCCACCCATCTTTCTTCTGCTTTTATTCCAATCTTCATGTCAGAAACCAGGCTCTCTGTCGGTGCCTCTGGTGGCAACCGTCTCTGGCCCTGGCAGGCAGCAGGTGGCTTCTGATGAAAAATTCAGAGCACAGCTCGACTTGGGAGAAGAGGAGGTGGTGGTGGAGGAGGAGGAGGTGGTAGCAAGAAGAGGCCGAAAGGGGAGGGGTGAGAGAATAGGAGGATAAAAATGTTGAGGTAGAAGCAAGAAGAGCAAAAGAAAAAGAGGACGGAGCTTCAGACAGGCTAGCAAGTCGAGCCCAGAGAGGTAGAGGCCAGGCAGAAGATCAGAGTTGTCCACTCTCTGCCTGAGTCTCCTCCAAGAAGATAACACACACTATGAATCATTTATGAAGGGGGTCCTTTATTAATAACACACGTGCTGTGGCCTGCTTTCTTTTCCACATTTCGTCTTGTTTCCTCTGCTCCCTCGGGACGAGCAAGAGCAGAAAAACGCCACCAGCTTTGGAAGGAGCTAACGAACGGATGATCTGTGACAGGTGGGACGAGGCATCCAAACCCAATAGTGAAGCAAGTACCTTGTCACATGCCCACACATAAACTTACGCCTCTCCGTGGTCTCGCAGAGGCGCCCACTTGTCTGCGTGTTTACCCGTTTGTCAGTCTGTGGCGACACCAGAGCTCTGTGAATCAGAGTCCTGGACGACTCTGAGCAAGCGTCATGCTCGTGAATTCAGAGAAGGCACTGAGCACCTCGTGCTTGTAAGAGGGTGAGTGGTTGACTGACGACTGTTAAGGTCATCAGCACGAAGGGGTTGAACACAGATGTCCACAGGCCAGAAACGCTACACGACTGCTCACCTCTAAGATCATCGCTAGGCTCTAAGATTTCTAACATTCGTAGCGTTCAAGGTAACTCCTTTCTATGGCTCCTGAGCTCCATTCTCTATCCTTCAGTCCAACAACAATAGTCCTCAAGAATAAAAAAGTCTTCCTTTTTCTGAGCCGAGTCGGTTAAGCCTCGCTAACTGCGAGGGCGAGGGTGGGATGTCGTGGCGGTACGGACCCTTGGGGGATGCCGGGTCCTTCAGGTGAGCCGTGTACCCCTCATAGATGCCGTTACCGCTGCCCTCCTGCATCAGCTTTCCTTTGGCCTCCTGCTCTCTGCGTCTTTGCTCCTGGTCCCCCAGCAGAACTCTGGCGTTCACACCGGCACCCCCTGGGTAGCCATTCCTGGAGCCCTGGTAGCTGGAGTACCTGGGGTTGTCCTTGGCAGTCTGGAAGCCCTCTCCTGGTGGGTACACCTTATCCCATGAGTCCTGGGAGACGGTGCTGGGGTTCTTCCTGGGTTGTCTGAAGCAGAAAGAAAATGTCTTTAGAGTTTCACTGGTTCATCAATCCTATTACTTCTTCCAGGACTTGGATTATAGATGGTTATTTACCAATAGTTATTAGTTCTGGGTTTTCTGGAGGCAGGTTTGAGGTTTTTTATCCTGTTTTGTTTTGACTCGAGTTCCAAATCCCCCTAGCTTTGGCTAACATGAGACATTTGTGGAAAATACAATTATATTTATATGAATTAAAGACATACTTGTCTACAAGAAAGGTAGCCAACTCTGCACCTGCCTAGCTATGTCCTCAAAAGCACCCTGTGGAGAAAACTCATTTCGGCCACTTGTATCCACAATCTCGTTCTTTTAGTCACTACCCAAAGCTCGTGACCATAGGTGAGGGTAGGAACGAAGGTCGACCGGTAAAATGAGAGCTTTGCCTTCCGGCTCAGCTGACAGGCCGGTACAACGCCCGCATCACTGCAGATGCTTAGCAAAAAAACATATTAAGACTATCACTTTTAAGGAATTCTAAAAAATATATATATATATCATACATAAATCCTGAAAGAGGGAAAACTCTGTATTGGTGCCTTAAGTAGTCGGACTTTCTGTTAGTGTCTTTTTAGACTTTATGAAGATTATTTCAGAATTTTTGCTGATTTTTCCAATTGTTAACCACAATACCAAATTTTCAGCTAATAACTATAAAAATTGTGCTAAATTCTAATTAACTGTGTCTCAAAATAAAGAATTTTTTTTTACCAAGATTGAATTAAAATAGAAAAAATTGCATCTCTGAGATGATCTCATTTGAATTAGGAACACATACATCTCTTTTAATGACTTTTCATTTACAAGCCCAACAATCTGCAGTCTGAAACACCACATTACATTAGCTATCAGCATCTTCTGGTTGTAAGGGAAAATGTAACAAATATGAATATGAGATTATTTACAGCTAAATTTAGTGACTTTGGGTGTTTGGGGTGAATTTAACCACTAGGCTCCATTTAAACTAAAATAAAACTTTAATTCCAGGGCATTCATTTTCAGAAAATACACCGTGACCATTTTAGTGCCTAGAAATGAACAAATGTTTGGATTTTCATTCTGAACAAATGTTTTACTGATAGTAACTCAGTGGGCAAAACATCACATCCAATAAAAACCTCCCAAACTGCCTCTGGGCAACTTCCAACCCACAGCAGCAACATGCAGGGATGCCTAACCATGTCAAAGTCCTCTTCCAGCCCATTAGACCCATTTGGAGACAGACTGGAACAACGATCCGATCTGACAGACAGTAATAGCGGACCTTCTGCAGTTAGAAAAATGAGGCGACCGTGTTGTCCTCGGTGAAAACGGCCGACACCTGACACCAGCGTCTTAAAGGCTGCTGGGTGTCATGACTATGCCCTTTACCAGGAAAGATGGGGGAGGAAAAACAATCCAGATGTGTGTCATCACCTATCATTTCTGCTCAGATAGCTTTGGTGGCTTTTCTCTGCGTGTGCACGAGGGCGCACCACCCAGCAGCTCCTCCCGTTTATCGAGGAAAGAGGAAAAGAAAGACGGCGACTCACAAAAACATCACTGAGGTTTTGATTCAGAGCCATGCATAATTAGCACGTTCATCGGCCAGCTGTGAAGAAATCTTTTTAGTCTTGTGTTTGGATTTCAGCAGGAAGAGACAAAAAAATCCTTTAATGAGAACAGAGGAGGGCTTTGTTATTTTATTCAATAGAGATTGAATGCAATCGGGAATGGACACGCTTCGTGATCGGTGAGATAAAGGAATATAGCCCAGGTTTATTCTCCCATACGCTCGACTGATTCCAATTTTCAAAGACGGGCGTCCCCAACATCTGATTTCATTTCAAGCGTTGACAAAAAGGCCAGAGCTGATGTGCCTCCCTGTTGAGAAATGCAAACCAGACCTTCGTGTATTTGGTAAATACAGAAAAAGATGTTCGCTCGTGCACACAGTGATCCGTGACAGACGATAGCACGGAAAGGGGGAAGAGGTGAGGAAAATGGAGCAGATTGACATTTGACACATATGAATTCAGGCTCTCACACCAGCAGGACCAAATGCCACAGCAGCTGCTGCGGGCTGCCTCCGCTCTGGTATAATGGCGTTACTTTGGCTCAGAGATCAATGGAGCCCGTCGATGACGAATACGAGGGTCCTTCATTTCTCGTCATTGTTTCAGATTCCAGTGGTTTATTTTCACTCAGAGATCTTTGTTTAGGAGAGCGGTCTCACCCAGCAGGGAAGTGACCTTTATCCACAGCGAAAGCTGCTCTGTAAGGAACCCGGCCGCCGTTAATCACAACTCCAACAACAACAATGAAATTCCACAATCAGGGCCGGAACCCTATCGAGATCCCTCCAAACGCCACGTTTACTCCGTCTCTGCCTGTGACTTCACCCAGCTCAAAGTCAAACAGCCCAACATGTTCTAAAGACTTCACAGCTGGATTTACCCAAACACAACACTGGATTTATGGATTAAAAAAAAAAAGTTGCCTCCAACCACTGGAGCGTGATGCTGGTTCATTAATCTTTCAGCAAAACAACTTGAAATATTTATCAAGGAAGGGACTCATTGAGATAACAGGGATTAGAGCACAATGGGGAAGTAATAATGCTCTTGATTTTTATGAAAGGGTGAGGCAGGCTGAATGAGTTTGGGAAAACAGCAGAGGGAATGTTCATTTAGGGTTTTTATGTTTAAAATTTAGGAAACCGCAACTGCACATGCAGTTCGACACCTTCAGGATGGGATTCCTAAACTCTCGTCTTTGGTTTGACAGGAATGTTTTCATTTACGATTCTCAATATTGCATTTATTGTGTCTTTTTGATCCTTTTATGATGCAGGAACAATAACATATCTGGGGTCTTGTCTGGGGTACTATGCAAAAGTTGTTGAAAACGTTTTTTTAATCTTCAGATTTTGACTTCCTTGCAGGTTTATAATGTTTTCGGAGTTTGAGAAGATCCTTTTTGGATCTTGGCTGTTTTTTGTATATTTTGTGCCCAAATAGGAGTCCTAAAAAAAAGAGATGAACCTTGTCTGGTTCTCTCTTCAAGAAGAAATCAGAAGATCTTGAGGAGCTCCTATTTACAGGCTGACCCCGATTCCACCAAGGACCAGCAGACCCTGCTGCAACTCAGGGTCCAGGTCCAGAACGACAAGCAGCCAGGAGGAGGGCAGAGGTTGGACGTGGAGACCTCCACCAACGATGAAGCATTGGAAGTTATCAGGGACAATGGGAACAGGAGGTGAAATCCAAAGTAGTCCCAGTGGTCCCAGGTCCATTAAGGGGCCTTCCAGTCCCAACAGAAACCTTCAGAAATAATAAACCTCTCAACAAAAGCACTTCCTGGAACATTTGGCCCACGTTTGGTTCAGATCAAAGGGAATTACATTAAGGGAAAGGAAAACAGTCATGTCAGATCTGCAACGTGATCTGTTTGTCCATACAGTCATCGTGTGTGTTTATGTGTATCATCTGAAACTGGAACATTTGTTTGCCATCTACAGATAATCATTACTGTCTCAAGGCTGTTAGAATAAACCAGACATGATCTCTCTCTCTCTCTCTCTCACACACACACACACACACACACACACACACACACACACACACACACACACACACACACACACACACACACACACACACACACACACACACACCTCTGCCATCAAACAGAAACCTACAACACCTTCTAGCACCAGCAGAAACAATCCCATGATGCTCTCTGTCTCTTACCGGGGCAGGGAACTGTATTGTCTCTGAGCCTGGGCGAACGAGTCTCTCTCCTCCTGTCGCTGCATCTGAACCTCGACGGACACGGAGTGCCGACCCGGCTGGCTGTAGCCGGCTGGACCGTTGCTGCTGGCGTTAGACTGGAAACGAGACGGCGACACAATCAGACGCGTCTGAGGGTGAGATCGTTCAGCAAGGGTAACACAAACACTTCCCGCTGACTTCTCCAGGTATCAGAAACTTACCTCCGGTTAGTCATTGGGACCCACAGAACTCGTCTCCTCTCGGCTCAAAATGAAGGTGAGACACAAACAGATGGGGGAGGAAGGGGGAGTGAGGGCAAGACCATGCTGGAGACTCAGGGAAAGGTGATGGTGGTGAGATGGATGTTAGTTGGTGTTAATGAAGATGACAACAACTCAACTTTGGGACTTTACTTCCCCTTAAAGACAAACATCCGAAGATCATCAGCAAAGAAACAAACATGTCAGAAAAAAACACACTTACGGACAAACGATAAAGTTTTATTCAGGTTTTATGATGTCAGACCTTCACACATCAATACCTGAAGTTTAATTTTAAAGAGTGTTTTTAAAAGTATTGCTATTTATTGTGAGACTTAAGAGGAAAACTCTAAACCACCTTGAAAAAAATAAAACTTATAAACATTTATGTTACCATTCACTTTACATTCAGTGACCTGCAGCAGCTAAATATAGCACTACTTGTGCCTTCAAGGGTCAAATTAAGCAGGATTTTCTTACTTTCTGCAAAAACCAACCAAATGAAAGAAAAAAGGTGACTGTTATGAAGTTTTGGATAAACTGATCTATCTTGGGAGGCAGTAACACACTTTGGTTTGGGCTCCACATTAACTAGTCATTAGCTTGTCAGTCCTGAAGGATGTTAACTCCCATTTCTCTGAGCAAAGGCCTTTCAGGAAGTCAAGAGAGAAATCATTTACACATTTACAGAAACGCTCTTCAAAATGGCTCAATTGATGTTCAATAAAATCAGGAAAGAGTCCAATAGAACCAGATTTAAGACATCCTTTGCACATCTCTCTCTGGCACCAACAGAGCTACACCCTGAAGGGTCCAGCTTGAATTTGTACCACAACTCCTCCGATGTTCATTAGCGGTCGGGGTGCAATAACCGTGTGCCGATTAGCTGCGGCACAAAGTCGACCTAATTACTTTTATAGCAGTGCGGCGTATGGAAAGATGGGCGGGAGCGGTGCAGACATCAGTCGTTGGGAAGGCCATAAAACGATTAGAAGAGCAAACCACGCCGAGGAAATCATCCCTGGGTGACTGGCATCAGCTGATGAATGAAGGACGGTGCCCCCAACAAGTCTATTCCTTTGGAGCTTAAATGACATTTTTAGGAATGTTTGATATAAGGAGAAAAAAACGTTACAGTGAAGCCTAAACAGGAACACAAGCCACTCCTCCACTCCCACTGGAGTATAAATGGGTGCAATAAAGCTGGGAGTGCTGGCGCTGCTGGGGGAGCAGGGATCAGTCATCCCTGATAGAATTAGACCACGTTACCCACAATGCTCAGCTGCGTCTCCAAACAAAAGTGGGGAGAAGAAGAATGAAGAGAAATCACACTGACCTGAGAAATGTGGCTAATTTTGGATGACTATAAGAGCAGTTTGTGGTGAAAATGGATGATAAGTCAGAGAGGAGACAGAAACAACGTTATCTCTGTGTGGGCGGAGCCAGAGCCGCTCGTTTCAACCGTAGCAACACCCAGAGAACATTTTCTAAATAAAATGATCCAAATCCAGTCATGTATGAAACCGAACGTGAAAAACATTATTAGGTCATAATTTAATAATAAAAAAAATAAATAAATAAAAAAAGAAAAGTTTATATAAAAAACTAAGCTTTAATGTTTTTTCAGTTGGTTATTTTTTGTGCATCAAACTTAAGTTCAGGGAAAACCAGGTTTTATTATTCTTCTGTACATTTGTTCTGAGTAACTTCATAATCCATTTCTTTGTTCTTTTTTTACATAGCGCAGTAAAAAATGGTTGTTTACCTTGAGACTGACACGCTTCAGCTAGCGACTCTAGCCATCATCAGAGCTCGCTGGTGTTAGTGGCGTCTCTTCTGTTTATTATCAACATATCCAGTCATGAAGAAAGCTCTGTAACACGACACAGATCGTCTATGCAGGAAATACGATTTATTGGTGCAGCCATGTCTTATTTTTGAAGTTTGTGATCTCAGGAAGGGCTGCATGGGAGTACAGGTGTCAGCGATGCGTCGCCGTGAGAAGGATGCAGGTTCCTCCCAAAGACCAGAAACATCACGGGTGTGACAAGTTGTCCCTGCGTGTGTCTGGTGGACTGGAGACCAGCTCCCTGAGACACCTCTGAGGATGAAGTGGTTAGAAAATGAACAGGAGCATGTTGCTCCACTTTGTAACATATAAATGTAATTTATTTTGTTTTATTTTGTATTTGCTGCAAATACTTTATCATTAACAGAAAATAAAAACACTCAGTTCAGTCCGATAAAAAAATAAAGAGTAAATTTTTAAGCATCGCTGCATCATCCAGGAGAGATGTATTAGTACGTATACCTCCAGACGCACCGTTTGAGTGTCAACCAGTTTCACTGTATTCACATACAGGAACAATAAAACTCGTTTTTATTTCTAAAGAGGACCTGGGATCAACCAAGAAAACTGTGATTGGTGCGTTTCTGGGTTGAGCTAATCTCTGGATATTGAGCTGCAAAAAGAAAACACTTTTTGTCCCATTAGACGAAACCAGAAAGCTTCTAATCCGCTCGGATGACAACCGGAGCAGCTGCAGGTGAATTAGAGAAAAGGACGCTGACTCCTTGAGGTTTGTAAAGCATCACTCAGATGAAGCAACAAAATGTAATATGTGCACCGGAGGAGTAATTGAATTTCAAAGAGGCATTCTGCTGTTTTCCATATGGCTCACCAGTATGACCAGAACATGAGTCTAATAACGTGTAATTACAGAGCCGAGGAACAAAGATGGAACATGAAAAGACCATTAGAGGGTCAGAGAGGCTCTAACCACAGAGGAAGAGGAGTCTCAGCTTTATTTTCACACTAATTAAGATTTAATGGTTCCATTTTTGGAACCCAGGGTTTATTTATCAACACGTTTACTTGGTGGAATCACCAGACAGGGAAAAGGGACCTTTTGTGTTTAGAGTGTGGGACAACTAATACCGTCTCCATGGGAAAATAAATCCAGATCTTTCATTTGGAGCACGCTCGGTTGTTTGGAAACAAAGGCAGAGATGACCTCCGCCCTTCTTTCCCACACCGTCCTGCTCCGGCTGCACAATGCTGACCGGAATGTGCTCCCGTCCGCCGATGCCGTCAACACGCAGGGGGACAAACCCTCAATGACAACTTTATTAGGATTTGGTGCTGGAAAACAAAACTAGCAGAACTTTTATCATCCAATCATAAACCGTGGGACATAATTTAGCAAAAAGAAAAAATAAACATAGAAACAAGCTAAAAGTGCTCATGTTTATAGTGAAGAACATTATTTACCTGCCTGCTTCATTTGTGATGGCGTGACCAAAGCGACTACAAACGTCTATAGTGTGATAAAAATCAACCTGACAAACAAAAACGTACATGTTTGGTGTTAAAAATAAAAATATAATACTTATTACACCAAGATGGTAAAAAAACCTCTCAGTTTCCTGTGAGCGTGATAAATCATGTCTAATGTAAAACCAAACACTCGCAGGTGCAGCGTGAGGAGGAGAGAGGTCTGAAATAAATAACATGACAAGTGATTTCATCACCTTAAAGAGAAAAAACCCTTGAAGGCGGTTGGATTTGTTCGTTTATGTTTGTTGCTTCAGATCGCTCCGACGATCCCTCGACTTTCTCATTTATTTAAGTTTCAGTTAAAAATGATCCTAAAAAAGGCACCGATTAAAAAAACAAGTCCACGAGGAGGTGGGCGGGTCCATGTGGATGAGTGACAGACACATGAGAAAAGTGGGTGTGGTTAGTGATGGACTCCAGCATGCAGTCAGTTAATTAATCAGGCAGGAGGGCCTAATGATGATCCGGAGCTGGAGGAGGATGGGGGTGGGGGGGATCATCAAGTCCTGCTGGTTAGTGGAGACTCCCTCCGGGTCAGACACTCACCCAGGTCTGCTCGAAGCTGTAGGTCCTCCTGCGATCGTCGGGATCGTTTGGAATGTTCTGGGCCTGCTGGAACTCCTGCCTCAGCCGCTGTATCCGGTCGTGGTTACTCGGAGTCAGTCTGTTACTAAAGAGAGAGAGAGGGAGGGGGAGATGAATGAGTGTGAGCGAGCGAGTGACCTGGTTCTATCAGAGCGGCCGGAAATGGCCCGCAGGACAGAGTCCAGCGAGCTCTGTCTGATGAGACAGACTCGGAGAGCCGACCCAGAAAAAACAAAACCCTGAACATGTGGAGGCAGCCCACAGCAGCTCCACTAATGCATCTCTGATGTATTATTCATACTGGTGAACAAAGCCTGGTGGTGAACGGTGAGCTGGGCCTCGGCACCCCCCACCCATAACGTTTCAGGCCTTCGGTGTTTCCATCAAACCAGTAAAACATCCTCAGGCTGAACTAAACCAGCACAAGCGGCTCTGTCTGACCTCTGAAATAACCTCCTGTGTCAGGCGGCGGCGGCGGCGCGTTCTGATGATGAAAACAAGGAAAAGGAAATGTCGGCTTATGAAGGTGCATTTTTACAGAGTTAAACTTTAAATAATGAAAACTGCACTGATTTATTACCAGAAACGGCATTTTCATACTTCTGCATTAGCACATCCTCCAACCTTTCACAATAAGAGCCTCAACTTCCAAGTGAAAAGAACTAAAAATTTCAGCTGAGTCAAAAAAGAAAGAAAAAATAAATCTATTTAAAGTTACTTGATTTTCGTAATAAAGTAAAATTACAGATGAAAGGATAAAAGATAGAAAATCTAATTTAAGTACTATTAGCTTTCATTACTATTCCCTTAATATTATTACATTGTTATTAATTTACATGATATTCCAAACTCCCAGTACCTTAACCGTGGAAGATAGCGCAAATAAATAAACAAAACACTATCAGTGCAGCTGAAACTTCTTTTCTATACAAACAGCTAATTTAGCGAATTACTTGGCTGAATAAATAAAAATGCTGCATCTAAAACTCCTAAATAAGGAATAAACGTGAAACCCTTTGATTTTAAAGCTTATTTGTTATTTTGAGTCCTTTATTGTCAGGAGATCATCTCTAATTTGAACTTTATAGCATTTAAACGTAGAGCTGGACAAAGCTGGACATTTTATTTATGTATTTATTTTTACTTCTGCCTGGAAATTCCCGTGACCGTCTTATCTCTGAAACTCCAAAGGTCATGGCTGCATCAACTCTTTCCAGGCCTCAAGATCCCCTGAGTTCCCCAAAAGAAGAAGGTTAAGGTCAGTTTTGGTTTGGGGAACGTGACTACTGCGCCAATATAGAGAATTCACTCAGAAGCTCATATCACACAACACACACGAACTAGAGCAGCCAGCCTCCCTAAAGAACAGGAAGCTGTCATTTGCAATCCTGCAAAACCTCGTTGACGTACAACACAAGCGCTCTGCCCCTTTAGAGCCCGACCGACCCACTAAGAGCTCCATCTGACCCAGTAGCCGTGGGTCAGGACCTCCATCTTGCCTTTGAAGGAAAAAAAAAGAAAAGAAAAAACCTCCATGAGACTAAACTTTGAGCTGTACCGAATGAGAAAGTTGCAGTAATTTGTCTGAAGGTGCGAAGTAAGTGTGCACGTCTCCCCAGACGCCGACTCGGGCCTGTAATCAAAATGGCATCATCATCAAGACAACCTATAGACCTGGACTATATTGCAGAATCCTTCCCGAGAGACCGGAGCGGAGCAGAAGCTCCGATAAAAGGATCAAATCTTTTCAATCCTTTAGTCTGACAAAAGTGCTGCAAATCAATCAGAGAAAGAGCAACGCAGCAATCAAACGTTCCTGGCCTCAAAACCCCAGAGACGGCAACAAACGGCGGGCTGAAACTCCGCCGCAGACGAGCCTCGTCCTGCCAATGCTCACTCAATATCTGCCACCGCTGCACGAGGCTGAAAGGTCACGGCGCCGCGCTGTGGAGTGTCTCTGGGACTCAATAAGAGGACGGCGGCCGGCCAACGGCGCTGCCAGCAAAACTGTTCACACTGAGATGCTCCCTGCCTTTCACGGTCGGGAGTGTCGCCTGGAAAAGCCTCCTGAAGCCCGAGAGGGAGGAAGCCTTAAGGGAAGACATAATGTCGGCATTGTGGGCAGATTTTACAATTCAGAGCCATGCAGCCACAGCGTGTCAGAGCAGCCGGACCCTCGGGTCTGGAGCTTCCAGGGTGAAATGCTCAAAAACAGCCTGAAGGGTCAGATTCCTCAGAAAAAGTTTGTAGAAATCAAATCAGGACTCAGATTAGAAGCATCCAGTAGATTAATGAAGATTACAAATCAATAAAGTCGGTCTAATTAACTTTGGAAGTCCAGAATGAATGCAAGACAAGCCACAGATATTGATGCCATTGATGGTTTTGACTCGCTCTGATGTTATAATTCACTAATGAGCTCCAAACATCGATCAGAGGAATTATAATAAAGAATTACAGCGCCTGCTGTGTTCGTCGTGTCGATATGCTGATGGGCTTACACTCTGCTGAACCAGAAACTGAAACTTTGCAGGCAGAAAATGCAGAAGTTTACTTGCTGGGAAGGTCGGGTGTGTCCGTACAGTTGGATGGACAGTCCTGTGCAACATGGGAGCTAATGTAGGAGTTTAATTGGCAGCAGGACGGGTTTGCAGGCCAAAACTCTCTAAAAGGATTAGATTCATCTGCTCCTCATGTTTGATGGACACATATTTCAGATAGAGAACAAATAAAGTTAAAGTCTGGAAGCACCAATCTACCTGGAATAATAAGATCTGCGATGTCACTTCAAATCAATGATGCGGTTTCCACGGAAACGAATAAACCTTTGAGAGAAGCCTTGCTGGTTAAGCGTACGGTAAGTGGCAGAAGCAGCTGATGGAAAATAACCTAATCCTGAAGATTAAGACTGAATGCTTACACACACACACACACGCACACACACACACGCACACACACACACACACACACACACACACACACACACACACACACACACACACACACACACACACACACACACACACACACACACACACACTGCCTACGACAGCATCCTGCAGCTGACTGGATGTGGGCATAAATTGGACTGGTTTTCCAGACGTCTCTGTGACTTCTGGTGGAGTTTAGAGGAGAGGCTCAACAGGAAACAGCTGGAGACGAGTTTCACAACGAGGATCCTGTTGTGGGTCATCATCAGTCAGTAGGATTTGCCCCCTTCTAGACCATCGCCACGTATTTACATCTACCCATCTCTGACCCTAAATCATCCAGATGAGGATTAGTACCTTCATCAGAAACCCTGAACAAGTCCGCTGCCCCCTGATGGAGAGGGCCTGTTTCATTTCTGTTTTCCTGCGATATTGATATAAAATTATCCCCTGGAGGCACCGGCCCAAGTGGCTAGGGAGAGGGATGTCTGGCCACCCCCACCCCGCTTAGGCTACTGCCTCACGCCACCCGACCCCAGATAAGTGGCAGAAAATGGAAGGATGGATAAATATTTTACATAAATAAATAGTTCACTTATTAGTTATAATTTCAGGCTTGAAGGGGTTAAATCCGTTCCTTCACACTCTGATAAAAACACCTTTCACAGCATCTCAACTCCTCCTCATCTCCTCTTTATCCTCGGCACAAATTACCGGATGCTGATTTAATAAAATCTCCTCTCGTCTTGATAAAACTCGGATTGTATTCTGTGACATAATTCTCTTCCCAATAATCCATTCTTCATAATAATAAACTTTTTAATTAAAAGCTCCATCCTAATTAAACATTTAATTAAGCTGGGGTAGTCGCGGGACGACTAGCAGCCTGTTAAATAAACATTCCCTGATGAGCCGATTGGCCGGGTCGTGGGTGCGAGTCCGACGCCGAGGCGGTTAGTTCTGATCTTATCAGACGGAGGAACCGGGCCCAGCGCCCTCCTGACAAACAGCTGCTGGAGTCTCCTGCTGTGAAAAATGAAGCCAGATGCTGCAGATGATAATCTGGGTTTATTGATCGAAGGCTCACAGAAAGATAAGGATGGAGATGGATGTCCTGGCTAACTGCTGCTAGCGGCTAACGTCCTGTGATGGGGTCATCAGCAAAATAACAGCTTACTACAAAAAATACACATTTTATCTCATATTCTAAAAATAAATGATAGATTTCTGAAATATAACAACATCCCTCATGATAAATGTCCTCTAGAGGAGAATAATGTGGTGTTTATTCATCAAATTACACTCGTTTAGATGTATTTTGAAACGTATTTGCACAATTTAGTTAAAAACTAATTATCCTTCATATTTAACAGAAAAAGCATCCAGAGGGAAAAAATAATAATTTCAGAAAACTGAATGCATTACTAATATGTGATAATGAATGAATATTTTTTACATTTGGTGTATTTTGCTGTAGTTTGTTGGTAGTTTAGGAGTAGTTTGGTAGTTTGATCACTTTGCTTAATTTGTGTCTCATAAAGCTTCTTTCTTTTAGAGTTTTAAGAGTTTAAACAAATTTTTAAATAATTGATGCAAAAAGCTTCCTTAATTGATTAATTGATTTTTTATCCTTCTGATGATGTTTTATTGGAGGACGATTGCTGAAGAATCTGCACATCATTGACCAGGAATTAGATTCCGATTTACTCGTTCCCTTTTAGTGTTGAGGAGAGAATCATCATCGGTGAAACTCGGGATTACACGAGTTTAACCCCGAAGCTCTGCTAGAACCAAACCGACCTGCAGAAACACAGCAATTAGCGCCAATCGATGCAATATCAGCACACTTAACAGCCCGTTATCAAGAGCTTGTTGTATCTGCAGACTAAATCAGACTGAAGTGGGTCTGCGTGTTGAAAAACTGCTGGCTCTGAAGCAGAGGATACAGACGGTTGGGGCCGACAGCTACAGACCGTTTCTCTGCAGATGAATGAAGTCTACTTTAATAAACTTTCTACAGAATCGCAGCAGGCTGCAACTGAAACACTTTCTCCAGGGAGTTTTTTAAATGTCTCCAATAGTTTGCGAAGCTTCTCGATTTCCTCACGGGGAGATTTTTCCCTCAGCAGCAGTCACAGGCGGGCGTCTGGAATCC